GTATATTGTAGAAATTTGGCATATGAAAAAATAGCATTTCAAATCAATGAAGAACAAGAGAATATTAAATAAATGTATTGGTATAATTAGTTATCCATTTGGGAAAAGTCAGATTCCTACCCCACAATGAACAAAAAAATCCTAGATGGATTAGATATCTAAGTACAAAATTAAAAAGGTATTTTTTTTAAAGGTGATATTTTTATCATTTTGGAGAAAGATTTCCTAGAAAAATACAAACCTTGGAATCCCTAAAGGATGAAAAGATTTTACTATACCTACCACAGAAGGGTCTGAAACAACAACAAAAAAGATTTTACTGCATGAAAATGTTAAAGCCCTATGTGATTAAAAATAACAATAATATGCACACACATGACTAGGAAAAAAAAATAAGTTGTATTATCTGGGTAGTGGAATTACAGGTATTTAAAGAAGTTTTCTCATTCAGAAATCTGTTATCTACCAAATTTTCTTATGTATTATTAATGTAACCAGAAAAAATTACTTCAGCGTTCTCAAAAATGAAAACTAGAAATATATATCTTTAAAACTTGAATTATAGAAAAGAATAAAATGTAATTCTAATGGTATTATCTTAGATTGGATGCCTTTTCTTGGCAGGAAGGAAAATTAACAATAAATGAACATTTCCGGCATGTTTGCCCAAATTAGCTTGGCTTTGTAAAATTAGTTGGTTTTTCCTCTAGACGTTGTGATGTTGATTCAGTCAATCATCTGGGTAGTTAGACAACAGGGGTTTCTTCTGCCTTAGAAGTGACTTTTTAATAATTAACTTTAAATGTGAAGAAAATTAAGCTTATAATTATATCCTTAGGATCAAAGTTCTGATCGTACCAGTCTTTCTTCAGTGGGAGCCCAGGATTCTGAATCTACCTCTTCAACAGATGAAAATGAGTTGGAAGGAGCCACTTCCTCCCAAGAGACCAGTGCCACTTCAGGGACTAAGGGAGTTGATCTCAGCCGAACAAACCTAGAAAGTTCTGCCTCCTTAGAAGGTTTGACCAAACAGTTCTGTTACAGTGCATTTAATTTGTAGTTTCATTTGAATTGTAGTACCTTTATTTTTTTATGATTTAATTTTATTTTTTTCGTTATGTAAAAGATTTACATAGCTCCAAAGTCAAAACAGTAAAGCCCAAGGCACTTGCAAAGAAGTCTAGCTTCCATCCCCACCCCCTCATCCCATTTTCTCCCTGTCCCTAGAAGCAACCATTTTTACTCATTTTTGGTTTATCCTTTCATTGTTGCTTTTCTTAAAAACGTAGGTATATGCACGTGTGCACGCGTGTGTGTCTATATATATATATTCTTATAACCTCAGAAGTAACATACTGTAAACTGTCCCACCCCTTGCTTTTTTCACTTAATGTATCCTGAAGATCATTCCATAGCATCACAACCCCCCATTCATTTTTACAGCTGCATAGTACAAAATTATAAACTTATGCTTCGTGTGTAGATACATCATAATTTATTTTAACTTCTTCCCTATTAATAGACATTGAGTTTCCAGACTTTGTAATGCTATAATGCATATATGTCATATTATATTTTTACCAGTGTATCTTTGGAAGATACTTCAGAATTCTTCCTTGAAGTGATATTGCCAAGTTCCCTTCATCAGGCTGTTTTGCATTCTCACTGGCAGTCTGTGAGCGTGCCTATTTCCCCACAGCCTGGTCAGCAAAGTATGTTGGCAAACTTGGATTTTTGCCATCTGATAGGTGAGGAATGTATTTCAGTTTAGTTTTCATTTATAATCTCTTATAAATAAAGTTGAGAATCTGTTTATACGTTTAAGGACCATTTGTATTTATTTTTCTGTGGACTGTCCTTTGCCTGTATTTCAATTGTGGGTCCTTTTTTTTTTTTTAAGTTCTAGTAGCTCTTTTTATGTAGGAAATTAATCCTTTGTCTCTTATATAAGTTGTAGGTAGTGTATCCAAGTTTGTCAAATTTAGTTTTGTTGGGGTTTTTGTCATGTGTAAGATTTAAATTTTATCTCATCAAATTTATCAGTCTTTTCCCTTATTGCTTCTGGATTTTGAGTTGCTAGGAAAGATTTCTCCTTCCCTAGGTTACAAAGGAATTCACCATTGTTTCCTTCTCATACTTACCTGGTTTCCTTTTTAACATTTTCTGGAGTCAGCAGAATTTTTCTGTAGTGGAGTCATATAATAAATATTTTAAGTTGTCATTTTCTTTTTTTAAACAACCCTTCAAAAGGTAAATACCTCTCTTAGCACAGGACCACACAAAATAGATTTGACCCCTGATTTACATATTTGATCCATTTGAAATTTATTCTGGTATGTGGTGTGAGGAGTGAATCTAATATATTTTTTCAGTTGTACTTTTGTTCTTTTTAAAAGCTTTTATTGTGGAAATTTTCAAACATACACAAAAGTAGAGGGAATAGCATAATAAACCCCCATGTATCCTTCACCTGACTTCAACAGTTATCAACAAATGGCCAATCTTGTTTTATTTATTCCCATCTCTTGCTGCCAACATTTTTTCTTTCCCCATGGATTATTTTAATCTCAGATAACACATAAATTTATTCATAAATACTTTAGTATGTATCTCTAAAATAAAACTTTTATGTTATTTATTTTAAACTATTAAAGTATAACTTACAATGTGTACTTTTTTTATATACGTAAATAAATTTCACAAACTGAATACACCTGAGTAACCAGCATTCAGCTCAAGAAACAACATTCACAGCATCTAGAACCCTTTCTCATGCCCATGTCTACTCCCGTCACAGGTAAACATTGTCTTAACTTACGACACTGTAGCTTAGCTTGGCCATTTTTGAACATTTTATGGACTCATATAGTATATGTCTTTTGTGAAGCATCAGTTTTTGAAAACAATTGTATTACCATTATCATACCTTTAAAAATATGATAATATTTATCATATAACATATCAAATATTTATTTAGATTCAAATTTTCACAGCTGTCTCATA